CTTTGTAAAATTTATATAGAACTACAATAGAATGCTTTTTTTTTTTGCAAATTTTTAAATATTTATTGAGAAACTATGGTTCTTTAGATGCTTTTAAATGATTGGCACTGTATATAATTTAATTTAATACATATCAATATTTTGTACTAATATATTTTGCACAATATTATTATACGTAGCAACCTATAAATTCTAATTACATACCTCATACGGTCTTGCACAATATTATCTTATGCGAAATACATAAAATATATAGCTTATTTTGCGTAACTTGTTATTTTATTGATTTTTTGAATTTCGACACTATTTTGAGACCATATATCGATATGCTATTTTAAAGAGCTCAGCCTTCAAATAATGCCCACAAATTAATAATTGCTACCAAAGTAACAAAAATCCAAGAAAAAAGATCATGTGAAATATACTTCGCCTTCCTTATAAGTAAGAGTATTAGCCTTACTTTAACAAGTTAAATAACCCAATTCGATCTTATTAAAATTTGATACGTAGTACCAGCAAAAAGATCTCAATTTTTAAAAAGCAATTTAATTAAATCATTCATCTGAATTTGGAAATTGCAGGTACTGGGGTTTTCTAGTATTTTTTAAACTAAAATGTGCGCAAAATTTAGAATGCAAGCATGCCACTTCTTTTTAATCAAATAATATAGTTAACTAGAAAAATATTATAATAAAAAACACAAAAATATATATTTTATTCAAAAAATCCGGATTGTTTGAAAGTTGTATAATAATATAATAAGTATCCGTATAACAGGAAAAAAAAACTCAAACTGCTGACGCAAGAAATAAAATACTTATTATAGAAAAGCAATTCTTTATTAACATAATAGCATAAAATAATATATGTTCAAGAAAATTTGGTAGCAATACGAAAAAAAAATATATAAAAAAACCCTTATGCTTCTTATCTTTTAATATATGCATAATCTTGGGTTAGGTCGACCAAATTTGTGTTTCAATCAAATTTTTATACTGTATTTTGATTTATCTTTGATATTTCATAATCTAATAATCAAATCATCTCATTAAAATGATTCAAATGGCATCAATACTGATCATTTGATGACAAGATATCAATGATAAATCAAAATATATAAATTAGATTGAAACACAAATTTGGTCAACCAAACCTATAATAAAAATAGATTAGAAACTACTCAAAGTTTTAATTGTGTTAAAATAACCTCATATGGATGCAATAGTTCAACTAATCCACCTATTTTTTCCCAGTCTTCAGATAATAGTTCTTTTTCTTCGTAACTTTTTAACGAACTACTCTTATTCTTCTTAATCAAAAAAGACTTATATCTATATAGTGCCGGTTTAAGAATAATTAATCTTTTTAACAAATAAAACATTGAGTTCTAACATATTGAAATATCACAAACCACCGAAAGCAATCTATCTCAATCATCCATTATTATCTGAGCTGTTAATAAAAACTGTTTTTATTTTGGATTTATACTGAAATGCAACACAATATCCTTGCATTTCTTTATAAGATTAATAATTTCAGTGCATTTCTTTAATATATCATTTATTACAAGATGTAAGGTATGACCAAAACAAAAAGTTTTAGATATATTATACTTATCTTCTAACTTCTTTAAACATGACTTAATATTTGTGCCATTATTAATTGTACTACATACAACTTTACTTATAAGTTGAAATTTGTTTAAAATTTCAATTATTTTGTCTACAAGTCATTCTGCTATATGAGGGTATGGAAGATATGAAATCTCACCAATTATTTCTTATACTTGAAAGTCTCTATTCACCCAATGAAACATAAGTCCAATGTAAGAATCATTGTTATCTGATGTCTACATATCTGTGGTAAATGATATATAACAAATTTCATTATCATCATGTATATGCTCACGCATACTTTACAAAACTCTATCCTCAGTATTGATCAAAATTTCTTTCAACTGATCCTTGTTTAAAACACTAGCTTGAGGGTCCAGATCTTCTATTATTTTTATTAAAGTTTGTAATTTTAGAATTGAAAAGAGTTGAAGTTCTTCAGTAATAAAAGCAGCAAGATTGCTGTTAAGTTTTTTTGTTTTGGATAAGTAGATAAATATTTTATTGCTTTGCTAAATGCCTCTACTAATGTTCCTTGTGAGGATTCTGCCATTATATGAAATTTGTACTTGCTTCACCTTTTTGTTCTATTTTTATCTATTTACTTTCTACCATCACTCTTGAAATATAATGTCTGCTTCTTAAATGCTGCTATAAATTTAATGTGATGCCATTTTTTTTATATTTTATTCATGAACAGTTTTTGTGTCAGCAGGTCCAATATTCTATATTATTAAACAACGCTATCTCATAAAAAGGTTTAACAGAGCTACCTCCTAATTTTTCAGCTTTTTTTTTATACTGAGTTGGGAATAACTATGAAATCTCACTAATATTCAAATCATCTGTACTAACTACATAACCATTAGATTCCACCTCTAAATGTTTTGATTCTTCTATCTTCAAATCAGCATTTATACTCACTGATTCCACCAACTCCAAGTCAGCATCTACATATTCTAACTCTATATTATTATAATATCCTTTGTTATTCTTATTGTAATACCCTTCATACCCTTCATTATTCTTATCACAATACTCTTCGTTATTTTTATTATAATACTCTTCATTATTCTTATCACAATACCTTTTATTATTCTTATTGTTATACTCTTTATTATTCATATTGCAATATCTTTCGTTATTCATTAGTATAGCTTTCCTAGATTTTATTATTTGTGTTAGTGAATTACTAATTAAATACAATAAGATTATTCATAAACTTACTTTAGACAATGTAAAATCTGTATATATTCGATTCAAATAGTTCGCTTTCTTAAAGTAATGAAATAGCGAAAATTAATTTCTTAACTAAAAAAAATTATTAAATACAATAAAATAAAAATTTCAAGTTCTTATCACCTTTTATTAATAAAAAAAAAAAAAACTCTGAAGTTACTAGTCTCTAATTCCAGATGAAAGGCCAAAAGAACTTGTTAAAGTTTTTATCTGCTTCAAGCTCAAGGCTATAATTTACTTAAAAAGCTACTAGAAACTACTAGCAAACAAAAAAAATCAAATATATTGCTGCTATACTGCTTTAAAATTTTATAAACAAACTTTAACTTATCCACAAACAAAAAAAAAAGTCACAATACTAAAGAAGCCTGATCCATTTAAGTTGAACTTCTTTTACACACTACACACCTATCTATAGTGTTATTTTATAAAATTTTAATGATAAAAAAAATCTACTTTCTATTTTACATTTAAGCACAAGTTTGTTAAACATACTTCTATATGGCATTATTTATACATATTTAGTTCTAATTAGCTAGTAAGAATCGATTATTATGTATGCTAATCTAATTAGATAACTTGTTTAACCTGGTTCATGATCCGGTTTAATATCTAACTTGAATCTTATTAACCCAAGCCAATATTTTTGACCCAGGTAATATCTCTAGATCTGTCACCTGAATCTTGATCTAATATCCCTATAGTAAAAACAAATTTTAGTAAACCGATTATTACTCCAGAACCAGACATTACTTTATCTTCATTGCTACAACTTCAACAACAAGTAGCTTACCAAAGTCAGCTTATTGCACAGCTACAACAAAAGGTTGAAACCCTTGAAAATTTCAATCAACAGCTTATGCAACTATAGAGAGAAGATAATCAGTATACTAATTAGTATACTGCTCAATTCGCTGCCCTTACAGAGTCACAAAATTTTTAGATAATCTTAGGCAAGATGAAAAACTACCTAAGAACACAGATATTAATGACTCTACTCTAACTCCAAAATATGTGTATGCTATTTTTTTTTTTTTTTTTTTTCTCTTTGGCAACCTTGCCGGTGATCCTTTATTAAGATTATTATATAAAACTAGTTA